AAATTTCAAAATTTATTTCGCAATATTTCAAAATTATTGTGCTATGCAAAATCTTTTGAAATATTTCACATCTATAATTTTGCTGATGAAAGTGAGAATAAATGTTGTAAAATAAATAAAAAAATATTAGCAAGTTCTTGATATAGACTGGTTTACTAGCCACTTGAATATAAAAACAAAAAGATTCAACAGTCTGCATCTTTATTCAAGAATAAAAGCAGTAGATTGCTTTACTTAGGATTAAAGAGTTGTATAAATTATATATGCTTACCATTTGGGTTAATACATTATGCTCTGGTACATGCAAGAGAGTGCAAGATAGTGATAATCATAATTGTACCAGTTTGAATAACAGTACATGGTAGCCAATAGTGGTGCAGATAGTAAAGAAGAAAATGGAATTGCTGATGTCAGTAAAAGCAATTCAACCAGGGCTGTCAGAACATATAGAGCTATGCAACAATAAACATTAGAAGTTAAAGGCAATTTAGATAGATTAGTTAGGCAATTGTTGATGTGTATAAAAGATCTTGTAGAGAATTTGATTAGTAAGATGTTTAGAAAAAGGTTGAATAGGATATAGAAATTGTTTTTAGAGTTCACTAGATAGGTAAAGCATAAGGCATGTTCTACAATGAGTATAACTATAATAGCATTCTTGGCCTGGCTAAAGATGACAGAACACAGTTCAGATATACAAGTCTGTTTGGTAGCCATTGCTAGAATGCATAAAATTGAGAGAGCAACATAATCTTATTAAGGATAGTATGGTGCAGTTGGTTTTAAATAGTGTTAGAAAAGCTGTGATAAAGGAGGCTAAGGCTAAATAGCCAAGAGATCTATTACTAATAAAGATTGTTAAAACTTATTTAAATTTTCCTTCTAATAGTGTTAGTTTTAAGATATGAACTCATAATTTGGCTTTAGTACAACTGGGCTTAAAAATGATGAGATGGCCAGATAAATATATAAGTTAAAGAAGAAGAATATAAAATTAAGAAATAGTTTTTTGTAGATTAGAATCAACAAATCAAAAACTGACCAACTAGTGAAAGGGAAATTTGTGCTAATTAAGGAGTCTAATAGTAAGTATTGCCTGGTTAGGAAGGTTGTAGGATATTTGAAAGTTGAATTAGAAACAAGAGATAAAACACTATTTTTTCTTTTGAATAAAAGAAATAAAATGTCAGTTTTAACAATTACTGCAATAGTAAAGTGTTTTGCTAAGTATACCAATATTAAAGAAAGGTTTACAGCATATAGTTTGAGGATTGGTAGTGCTATAGCAGCTATAAAATGTGGATTGTCATTAAAGCAAATCAAGTAATTAGTAGTTGAGTAACAAATGTAATATAATGATATATAAGATTATTTGGAACAGCAGAGTTGAGTGCATCAGCATTAATGGGGTTTTAGGATAAGAGATAGTTGGTGCTGTGTTTGGTGTTATGAGAGTTACAGATAGTGCAAGTGTAATACAATTAATTAAGTTAAACTTTTTCTTTTTATAATACTCTGAAAGGACCCATATATTGTTCTTCATTGTATAATTGTATAGAAATGAGAAACAAACAAAATAGCTGTTTAATATATAAGAATTGAGACAGCTTTTGTCTTAAATTATATGTAATGATTAAACATGTAATAGGCCTATTACAGTTACATATTCAATTAATTGTCAATTAATCAAATGAAAGTATATGATAATTGAGTATTTAGTAATATGTTTATTTATTAAAATTTTGATTTATGAGTTTAGTTATAGTAATAATAAGATAATTAAAAAAGTATAAAATAATTGAGTAAAAATAAATTAATAAAGTAAGTATAAAGTAATAAAGTAAGTATGAGCTAATTAGAGAACTATAAGGTAATTTAAGAATAGTATATTAGAATAGTTGGAGAAAGTAAAAGTTAGTAACTTTGTCTTTTCTGCAAACTTGACTTTTATTCTGGTTAATTCGATTCTACTCATCTTATTTATAAAAATATGGAATTATAGTAATTTGGCCTGCCAAGACAGCAGCTAGAAAAGGTTGGCAAGATGAGTGAATTTTGAATAAGAATTTTTTGAATTTGCAACCAGATTAAATAACAGTTGTAGTAAATGTTTGGCCAGTTGGGATAACTGCTAATATTAAGATTGAAAGAAAAATTAAATAGCTAACCAATACTTAGAAAGGCTGTATAAGTGCTCAAAAGTGAAAAAAGCATATTTATATATTGTTCTTCATAGTATAATTGCAAAAAAATGAAAGACAAACAAATACAATTTTGCTAGCTATTTTTTAATTTATTGACCAAAATAAATATATTAACCAATAGATTACAACTAATAATTTAAACTCATGCTAAATTTAAAAATAATATTTATAAAAAATAAATTTTAGAACTAACCTATATAAATCTAATAATATTTACAAATTATTAAAAAACAATACTATATTTTGAATACTATTATAAAAACTTATACAACAAATCAAAATGCATTTTTTTCTAGTTGGTTTTATCTTATTTTTTATTTCAAAAAATTATTTTAGTAAGAATAATTAAATTTTAAAATATTATTACTTTATTTTAATAATTTAATATTAAGAAGTAATAACCATTTTATGTAACATAAAATAATTTATGTAAAGTGATAGCATATCACATGACCGAAAAAAGAGTGGTAACATAGGGCCTCACCTCTGACCTCATGATGCATATGCATGTGAATGAGATAACAGCATGAGAAGCTTTGATGTGATAATGAATTACATATGCCAATAATATGTAAATTGGCATAAAGTAACAAAAGTGGTATTCCATATAACAGATAGGTATAAGAGCCAAGAACAGTGAAAACTAGACAAACTATACTTAAAAAGGGTGATCCTTTTAGCAAAATGAATGAACCTAATAAAACACCAAGTATTGACTCACAAATAAAAGAGTACATTAATAATACATGTCAAAGAGCTATAACAACACTGTTTAATAGAGTAAAAGAACTGATAGACCAACAAAAAGAAGAGCAACAACAATGGAATAACAACTAAAAAATACATTTGAAAGCCATTTCAATCAGCTTGAGCAGGTCAATTCAATTAACACAGATAAACAGCCTAACAATAACCAACTACCAAAAGAGGATTACATCTCCCTATTAACTATAAACTCAACAGACACTAGAGAATTCACAACTCAAAGTAACTATCCATCTACTCCAATTCTTAATAAAATAATTGCAAACATAAAACTATCAGATATAGTAATAAGTAAAGACAATATGCAAAAAAGTAAAAATTAAGATCAAGCAAATAAACAACTAATAGTTAAGAGGAGAAGTTGTAGATTTTCTACAATCAAATACAAATTACTTAAAAACCTATCTATAGTTCAAGAGTTTAACAACCCATTAGCAGCTAAAATTGAAAGTAGAAGACTTTGGTGGGTGCTTAACTGAAATAAGAAACAAAAAACAATTAAGATGTTGGCATGTAAATCAAGTCTGACATTAAAATTATAAAAGACTATTGCATTTAGTACTTATGCAGAGTTGCAAAAGTTTGTACACAAAAACATAAAAGCCAACATAAAATATCTACATGACAATTCACTTTTACAGATATCAGAAGGAGGTTATATATCCATTCAAAAATGCAATACATACAACAAGTTCAATAATATATTAGAATAGCTATTAGTATTCAGATTATATATGAAAGTAATATCAATTTTCTATGAAATTAGAAAGCAAGAATTGAATTTCTATTAAAATCACATTAGTACTTTACAGAAACATATTAATTTTTTGAAATATTTTTATTATATAAATATTATATAATTAATATTTATTAAGTTACTTGTAAGCCTCTTGT